GACTAACTGCAGGCCTGACCTGGAAGACATTCTGTCTGTCACCACTTACATGCTGTCTTGTATCTAAGGGAGAATGTAGGTCTTTGGGGCTAGGACCAGAACTTACGGGAAGCTTGCAGGATTTTAAGGGACCCAGCCTGAAGATAATTGCTACTAAAGAAAAAATCAGCTTTGCCTGGGAGGGAAAGTAACTCACCAACTTGCAGGAGCACTGGTGTATTAAGGTGGTGCAGGTTCTTCTGCCTCCTGTTTGTTGCTTTCTGTGGTTGTCTTCCTCAGCAGTCAGTAAGTTACTTACTAAGAGGTAAAAATGGTGATGGTTATTGCATGTACTCTAATATGAACACATAAAGCCCTCTTTTGTCTGTGACTTAAAAAGCCAGTGTCCCTTGCTTATTGTTTGGCTACCTGCGTGTAGGATGGGTCATCCTCAGTCTTTCCCTTCACCTTTTCCTCCTACCATCAACACAGTTCTGCATTAGGCTGTTGGTGTTTTGCCATAACTTACCTTGTGTAAGACCTAGCTCAGTCCAGCTATTGTATTAAAATTCATATTCTGAGTTATATGATGAGACTTAGATGCTCTGAGACAATCAGTTTGGTGCAGTTTATTATAACTCCCTTGTTAGCCAACATTTGGTACCAGTGTCTCTTACCCCACTGCATGGGGGACACATTCTGCATGAACACACTCATTTTGGTTTCATTCTTTGTTCACTCTTGTTCACCATCATTTCAGAGATGGCGGGGAGTTTCCATTTGTCATCTGGCCTTTGGTGCTCACTCATAATTTCATTCACATCTCTACCATGAGCATTTTCTAGAGCAAATATCCTATTTCTTAATGGGCTGTGATATCTGTGGGGAAAGGCTTTGTGTTGCTCTGTTCCCAATTATTTTGATCCATAAAGGGAAGCCTCATCCACTCTTCTTTAAGGTCACTGCATGCAGAGTTTTTGTGTTCCCCTTTCCATCTTCTGTTGCATACACTCCTATCTTCTGCTTGTAGAACACTGCCTGCCATGTGTGTCTGCATATTCTCTCCTCACTTCAGCTAAAAGTCGAAGGAGAATACTCACTCTCAGGGGGAAAGTGAGTGTCATTTTTAGGAGCACTCACTCTGGAAATGTTATCTGCCATATGAAATGGAGTTTCAGATGAGTTCTGTCTGGGGGAGATTGGTTGAGGGAGGTGGCATAGGTAATAGTACAGCGTTCAGAGGCCAGCTGGGAGACCAGGGTTGGTAAGATAGTTTGTACTCAATTTGTTCTCCTTTTAAATATTTTTTACCAGTAAGTCAACTTCTATTTTCATGTTTCTTACTATTAGCATCATACCGGTTTGTTCTGATTTCAAAGTCTGCAGGAATGGGTGTGAAAGTAGAAGAGCTGAAGCTGTAAGATTTTCATGTTGCTTCTGAGATTTGTCTACAGTTTTGATTAAAATCTGTTGATATTGGAGACAATATAGGAGGTCCTTTCTCCTCCAAATTGCAGCTGAGTTATGACACCGCTACCCCCAACCTGTAACTACACTGCAGAGAATAATTTTTTGTTTCCAGGTTTTGAAGCTACATCTTCTCACCTGCAAAACGTTTTCTCTTTGTAATGCACAGGCCATTCGTTCACTTAATTGCAGTAACCTGGTATGTTTTCCTGTTGTACACAGGCAGCTCCTTAGCATGTAGGTACATTGTGCAGTCGTTTCTAAGGTTTACTTACATGGGCACTGAATTTTGGCATGAAAGCTTGGACAGTGAAGCGTGTGTCATGATTCTGCACCAAATACACAGGCTTCTGGAAAATGATCTGAAGCCCCCACGCTGAACAGGAGGCAGAAAATAAAATGTGGGTCACAGAGCAAAGCACACAAAGTGGGGGTTTGTCACATAACCTTGTTGCTGGACAAAGCTGCAGTGTGAGATTGGGAGGACACGGTCCTGTGAACATATCTGCATGTAGTAATGCTATATGTAAATAGTCACACTGCAGCTAACAGCAATATGAAAAATAGAGCATATGCCTACACTGCGGCAGCCCAGTAGCTCGTGTGCTTCCTCCCCTTGCAACTGACATAGTGCCATGACTTGGCTGTGTTACCAGAGCTTACTGGAAAAAAAGCCGTGAGTCCCAAAAAGAGCAACAAAAACAATTAGGGGGCCAGAGACTGAGTGAGGGGAAAGGTTGAGCCCTTGGTGATAAAGTGAGAACCGAGGCACTTGCAAACTGTACAGAGGGAGATGGGACAGGGTTTGTGGAGAGGTGGCACCATGGGAACTGGCAGAGGGAAGAGGAAATTATGAGTAACAAGTGAAATAAAGACCCAAATATTTCAGGGCTGGTTTGCCACTGATAGCAGTTAGCCTGGGGAGCTGATATTTTCTTATAATTTGCTACATTTTTGTTCTGTTTCTTGTCAGTCTCTGGCAGTCCTAAAGAGCATTGCTTCTGCCTGGAAATGGACGAATCATCCACACTTTGCAGTAAGAACAAGCATGCTCTGGCCCTTGTTGAAGGGGCTGGCAGGAGCCCCCAGAGCATTTCCAGCTCTTCTGTCTTAAATATTTTCAAAGTGTCTATAAAATATTGGAGCCTTGGATTTCTTTTGGAAAGAATTTCTATGCAATTGCCTGGATTTTGCTAACAGAGAGTAGAGGCAGTGCTCTGTAAGGGGTCTGGGAATCTCTCCATGGAGTTCAATGACAGTGAGATAAAATCAGCACTGGAGAATCCAGGGGTCTTCAGGAACTCGCTTAATGGAATATTGCATCACTGATGTGGGCCCTGAGTTTACAGTTTTTCCCTGTGCAAAAAGGATCAACAAAAGCCAAAGGGAACTGGGAAAAGCAGACCTCAGAAATAGCTGCTAAAACAAGCACTGAGTGAAGAAAGTCAGTTTGCTGCATATGTCTTCCACTTTTCTGCTGTCAAAAGGGGATAAGGATCTGACCTTCTGCTACAGGGTATGCTGCTCCATTGGTGAAGGTAGCTCTGTTCCCAGGCAGTTGTTTGATGAGCACCATTCATAGTGTTCTGCTGAAAAGGACAAATTAGCTCAGGCGAGATTAAGCTGTCTCTCATTGTCATGTTTGTTTGCCTGGACTTAACAGGGCACCTCTGCACAGCGCTTCGTTCCTCCCCTTAGACCAGTCTCACCACTCTGTTCCCTCCTTGGTCTATGTTGCTTATACTCAGGGACTCTCTCCCACATTATCACTGAGCAGGTGTTACCAGGTGCCTCCACAGTGGCTTTTGTCCAGTAATTGCACTTTGCTACAGATTTTATCAAGATCTGGGAGCCCTGCAGGGTAGAGCCAGCGGGATAGCAGTTTCTAGTGTGCATTGTCCCTACAAGCAGAAAGAGGAAGAGATCTGCCCTGGATGCCCACCGGCGCGCTGTTGAGGCATTTCTTGCAGAGGCTTCCTCGGGCCTGCGGCCTGTTGCTGCAGTTTCCCTTTAAATGTCTTTGGGAAGTTGGCTGTAGTTGGAGAGCTGCTCCTTGGGCGGCTGGAAGGCACCGCTCGCTCTGCTGAGGCTGCCCAAGCTGTCACTGCCTTGTGCTGCGGCCAGGCTCTCGCCACAGCCCCTGTCCCGCTCGGCCTTCCGCCAGGCAGCCAATTAGCGAGAAATCCCACTGTGTGGCCAGCTTCAAACAGCCACCGCGCCAGGGCCCGGCCTCACCCCTGCCCCACAGCAGCTGGGCGAGGGCTGCCTCCCGCCCGCCGGCCAGCAAGCCGGGGGGGGGCGGTGCGCAGCGGACGGTCAGCAGGCGAGGGCAGCCGGGAGCCTGTGGAGCTCTGTCAGGCGGCCGGACAAGGGGCTTCTCAGACAGACCCTGCCCAGAGCTCTGAGCACCATAGGGGGGAAAGGGTCTCCAGCTCCTGAATATTCATCTCAGCCTGGGCTGTAAAGCGGGGCAAAGCCAGGCCCAGCCACCTGCTGCTGCACAGCAATAGCATGGCCACACTGTCGACAGAGCTGGGAGCAGCCTGCTCGCTCCAGCGCCAAAGGGGCCAGCTCTGCCCACACGCTGTGCAACCGATACCTCTTCCCAGAGCCGAGCCACCAGCTTCTCCGCAGCCTGAGGGCTCAGGGTCTCTGGAGAGCCCTTGTGGCCTTGGCTCTTTAAAGTAGCTCTGTGCTGGTGTACTCTCCTTGCTTGGCATCTCCGCTTACTTCCCCTTCTCTTCCTCTCTACATCTCAATTTATAGCACTTTGTCAAATCAAAAAACATGATGTGTGGTCAGAACCTTGCTCCTTTAGCAGGGTTCTGTGTGCACCCAGTTCTTCCTTGTCTTGATGCTTCTGTCTCTAGCATCCGTCCTAGGTAGAGCGGCTGTATTCCTTGTGCTGGGTAACACTCAGTGACCCAGACATCAGCCATTTCCAGGGTCACACTAGAAATCATGAAAAGGTTTATGACATTACAACCAGATGCATCTCCCTTAGCCCTTGTATCTACTAGACCACCAGCATTTCCTTCTCCAGCTATCAAGGAGGTCACAGGCCTCTCTGCACAGCCTGAGGCCCTGCTAGCAGCTCTCTCAGCTCATAGTTTTACATGGCTTGTCTCAGTTTCTGCCCATGTTTTATTTCTAACAGAGCCTAAGTGATTGGCAGGTGAGCAAATGGTAACACACCTTGTAAGAGGCAAATTCTTGCCATTGTTAGGATGATGGCAAATAGGTAGCAGGGTTTAGCGCAGCTGGCTCCTTTCAGCTTCAAGGTTGTGTTCACATGCATGATCTGTAGCCTGTGGAGTCCTACCCAGCCCAAATCTGCTTCTCTTGCAAGATTTCTTTTGACCCCAAGCTTCAAAGCTTTATTGCTTTGTTTAATATTAAACAATGTATTTCCAGTCATTGCTAAATAACTCTCTTGTGTTTTCCTCAAATAAGAAACAGGCTGTTTCATATCTGTGAAGCGAAGGAAACTTTGTCTCTAGTGAGAGGCGAGCACAACACTCCCCCCTTACTGCTGCTGCTTTCTCTTGTTGCAGACATTCCTGTGATCCCTGACTTGGAGGAAGTCCAGGAGGAAGATCTGGCCATGCAAGTGGCAGCTCCCCCCAGGTAAGAGCACTGTCAGGTGCTCTTGAGCCTCTCATCAGCAATGCGAAACGGCTGGTTAAATTAAACTCCTTTTTATCTCATGCTCTCTGGATGTCAGCAGCAGTGCCATTCAGCAGGATTTGGTGCTGTGTATTGTGGCAGTGGGTCTCCAAGCTCAATAAGGCAAACTTCTTGTTTCTGATTACATAGAGGAAGCAAGTACTGAATCTTCTGTCTCTATATAAAAAAACCCAAACAACCCTACACTAGAGTAACATATGTGATGTGCAAAGTCAAATTCTCAAAAATGAAGAACTTCTTGATTTAAGGTTGCCTGTATAATCTGGAATGCCTCCAGTACACATGCATTAGCACATACATTTTGATTATGCATTGTTGTAGGCTGCTCTGCCCTCCACAGAGTATCTTCTTACTCAAGTACCTAGTTAATTTGCGAAGTACAATCCTATTGTTTGAAGGTGTTATCAGAGTAGTCCTGGGGTTAGGTCATGGGAGACCAGTAAGTTTTAAATAAATGAAATAAAAATTTGGGTGTTTTATCTTAAACATTCCAGGAAAGTCCTCTCTTCTCTGTTGGGCCTATTGACAAGATCACAGACTGGGGTTTCTGTTGACCCTTATTTGGAGGGGTGGGATACCTCACTCCTGACCACAAGTGTCTCTCTCACGGTATGGAGTGGCTGTTGTAATACCATAGCTGTTAACAAAAGTAAATGACACTTCATAGTAGTAAATTTGAAATTACTTTGTGTCTCACCAGAGTTCATTTCTTTGTTTTCTCTCTTCTTTTATAATCCCATCTATTTCTCCTGTATCCAGAGTCTCCCTGCAATAGAAAAGACTTCATGAACGAACACAAACATAAATTAACATAGGTCTTTCCTATAGAATTGCATCATCTGTAAAGTTTGTCGTGACAGTATATTACCCCCTACACCATGTTTCTCTTTGAAAGCTGCATTTTAGGAAGTTGTATTTGATAGCTGTGACTCAGCTCAGACATGGAAATCACAAAGTCCCTACTATTCTGTAGCTTGTACCATGGGGTTCTCAGAGCCTGCTTTGGTACAGCACTGGGGCTGTTTGAATGTTCATTACATTCCTGTGTTTTCTGGCCCTGTGGATCTTCTCTCCAGCATGCTGGCTTCTCTGAGGGAGACCATGGTTGCTCCACATTCTGTTTTCATGCATGTGCACAATCTAGCACACAGATTTGTCGGTGACTGTTTGTTTGCTGAATGAGATTTCTTCTGTCTGGGGACATCCCTCTCAAGAGTCCACATGGGAGATGTGGACACTTGCGATTGGTGTCACCAGACTACTGTCCTTGCCACCCTTCTCCTCAAACGTGCTTCCACACTTACCCAGGCTTGTACTTTGACCCTTTCTGGTTGCAGTGTGCAGGTGAACCGAGTGCTGACCTACCATGACCTGGACAAAGATCTAATGAAGTATGCTGCCTTTCAAACTTTGGTAAGTGGATGTTGCTGTGGGGTGACCAGAGTGACTTTCTCCTTCCAGACTCATATCATCCTCCACAATGATACTCAGCTGCACAAAATACACAGCTCTATCATCTAAGCAAGTTGCAGTCTGCCTGCAAGTCTGTTCCTCTCTGCAGTGTGGCTTTCATGCTTGTTTTTGTCTGTAAATAGTGTAGTTATGGTATCTGCTGTTCAGATACAGATCTGGAGGCTCCTGCTGTTGTTCTGGACAAAGCATATGTCCAGTATGAGGCAAATGTGCTTATCTGTAGCAGGCCCTACCTTGTGAAATGGAGGTGTCCACTTTCGCTCTGTTTGTGAAACTGTGACTCTGTGTGTTCATAGGATGGAGAGGTTGACCTGAAGCTTCTGACCAAAGTTTTGGCTCCAGAGCATGAACTGCGAGAGGTGAGTTTTTTGTGGGAGCACCAAAAGGCACAAGCTTCTTATATGTCTCAGACTGTACTTGGTAAGTGAGCATTTGTCAGTGGAGGAGAGAGGCAAGGAGGAGTTTGTCCAAGCTGATGGAGGTTTGATTTACCCTGAATATTATTTTAAAAATAGGTAGAGCTTTCTCTGTGTGAGATTAATGTATCACTGTAATTGGTCCTCATCAGGATGAAAGAACTAGTAAAGGAAAATGTGAATGGCCTAGCACTGTCACAGATCCATGAAGAAACAGTGCTGTGTTGTGTTTTGCCTTTTGGTAGCCACCATGTGGTTCTACAGGGTGGTACAGAGCGACAAAGCCAGAAAGCATTTGGAGTGTGGGCAGAGGGATGTTTTAAAGCAGGACAGAACAACCTGAATACAACTGTGTGTGCACCCATTTCAGCATGTTTGTCTTTTTCCTCTTGGTAGGATGTCAGCTGGGATTGGGACCATCTCTTCACAGAGGTGTCCTCAGAACTACTGACAGAGTGGGATCTGGGACAGTCTGAGAGAGAAGACCACAGCAGTCTGCCCTAGAGTGCTGGCACACCAGACAACTCATACCTGTATCTCCTGTAAATAGTTTAGCACTTTAATTTTCTATTCACTTGTTTGTATTTGAGAATTTATTTGAGACATGAAAATAAATAGGACTTTTTTATAGGAAAGGTTGGGAGAAGTTTTGGGCATTTTGTAATAATAATCTTTGTTCTCAAAAGAGATGAAGAATTCTAAATACAATAAAATATTTACTTTGGAACAGTCACTTCTATCTCACTAGCACCTTTACAGGTAACTGCAATGGGCAATCTTTCCTCTACCGAAATGCAGCTTCTCTGTGGTGGACATCTTACAATGGAGTGTGGTTTTCGGTGATGGCTGTCAGAGAATTTTAGGCTAATAGGATTTGTTTGCCTAGGACATGAAGATTACCATCTTCCTCACAACAGATGCCACAAGTTAATGCCAGGTTATCCATTTTACATTTCATCCAGCAGCCTCCAGCCATCCCCTGCTAGTTTAACCTCTCTCCTGGAATATTACCTCTGTATTGACTCAGAGGAAGCAGCAACACCACTTCTTACAGCACCTCTTTTCTTCGCTTAAGGTTTCCCAGCTAAATTCTGACCAGGCCTAACCCCACTTAGCTTTTGCAATCAGATGAGATCACAGCCTGAATGGAGATAGCTTCAGGCAATAGGTAGTTTGCAGTGAAAACAGTTTATTCTGTGCATGTGAAAGAATGGAGCCTGCTTCTCTGAAACAAGGTAACTCCCTGGTGGGTGCCTCCTTGGAGCCAAGTAAGCTGCTCTTATTGTCATCTAGAGAAAAACCCATTTAGCTGTTAATACCTTGCCCCCAAAGAGCCTTGGTCATTATTCGAAGGAAACAGGAACATTACTTCTAATCCAGTGTCCTTCAAAGCCTTGTCCTGTTGGAGAATCTTGCTATATTCATCTGGGGGGCAGTGCAGGTGCTGGGAGAAAGGCTTGCTGTGCTGCTTTTCTTAACACATTTGGTGTAAAAGAGCATTGCATTCCCACTCTTGTACTGACAGCAGGACAGGTCAAATAACTCACTGAATTCAGTACTCTGCAAAATTTCAGATCCAGAGTTGATATGCCAAACAATTCTACCAGTGAGAGAAGCAGCTGGGTACCAGTCTGGGGCCACCACAATATAAGGAGGCTCATCTGTCTCAAGGAGAGGCAAAGTGTATTTTACAACCAAGAAAACTCCCCTGTAACTAGAAAACTAGGTGAGACAGAAGGTTGGGAGGCCAGTGTATGGAGAATAATCCTGAGTCTTTCTCTGAGCAAAGAAAGGTGTTTTGGTATGAAAAGAAAACTTCCCAGGTGAGCTAGAGTCTATGTTTCTGTGACACCTATGGTTCAAAGAGAATTTCAAATGCTTCCTACATTCCAGGAAAAACAATAAATTCAGCAAACTATAATAGTTTAGTAAATCAGACAAATCCAACGACTCAGTCTGGGAGGAAAAAAATAATGGATGCTATTGGCTCCCCTCATCTGGCTTACGGCCCTGGGCAGAGATGCTCTGGGGTAGGAGGCAGGTGTGTCTGGGACAGGCCTGTGCCCACACTGGGACTTTGGGAGCCCAGTGGATACCTGGGCAGAGTTTAAAAGTTGGGCTTGAAAAAAAATCACAGCCTCATTTAATTTAAGGCAGAAAGAGGAGGATTTGATCACTTAGCCCAGCCTGCTGTAATACAGGCCATGGCAAGGTCCAGTGAGATGTGGCTGAGCTTTGCCTTTCTTTTCGAAAGCCTTGCCTAGTTAGTTTTTCTAATAGAAAATTGCCCTTATGGTTCAAAATCTGCTTTATTTCTAGACTCAGTTTTTTCAGTTTCATATTCTGTTCCCTGAGCATGCTTATGCTTTTACCCAGTTAAGCAATGCTGTCAGATACTTTCTTCCTGCTTCAGTATTTATGTGCGCTGTGATCAAGTTGTCCCTTTAATTTCCTTCAATAAACTCAATAGACTGAGACTTGCTTCCATGTCTTTTCAATTCCTTCCCCAGCTGGAGGAGGTGAGGTGGGTGTCTGGCTCCTGGCCTTCCTCCAGCAAGCTGTTCCTGCCCCCCTTCCTTCCACACGCATGTTTTGGTTTCAGTGCTGGGAAGGTGGCTGAAACCTGTTGCTGCTTTTCCTCTCTCAAGTCCTGATGCTGACAGGGAAGAGCCTGCTTCTGTTACTGTTCTTGCTAAAAAAAGCCCATGAGGTGCTTTGGTGTGCCCCATCCAGCTCTTGGCGCATGGTGATACACCAGTATGTATTAACTGTGACAAAGCTACCTCAGGAACCTGCATTTCTGAAGTCCCATGTAAAGAACGTGCAAATGAAGAAAGGGCAGGTATACATTTTTTCTTGTAGCCTGAAAAGGTGTAGCTCTGGTTGATTGTCAAGTGAGATGGGAAGTGAGACAGATTTCAGAACAGTGTGCCTGGTTCCTAAGAGCTCACATCAGCCCTCCAGGCTGTGCCTAGCCAAGGAATATAGCTGTAATTCCCTGTTGGTCTCCACAGACCTGTATCACAGTGGAATAAACCAAGGTGTAGTGGTGTACTTGGAGCCACACAACGAATCTGGGGCAAAATCAGTGTTAGAAACAAGTAACCTCAAGTTCCTGATTCAGACATGGCTTTCATATATCTGGTGAGCAGTTCCCATCTTCAGTTTAAAGATAGCAATTCAGTGTAGAGTCTTGCATCCTGCCTACTCTTTGTTCTGCTTTGTTCATACAGTGCTGAGGGAGAGCTGCAAACCTGTCAAAGTGTGTGTTGTCAACAGCATATTTAGCTCGGTGAGCTGATCTGGGGTGTCTGCCTAGGGATTTGCTGGCATTCTGGACGGCTGTAAGTATCAACCTGCAGGTAGCCTCTTGCAGGCTCAGTGCTCAGTAGACTACCTGAGCAAATGGCAGGCCTCATCACAGATGAAGTAAAAGGGCAGAAAGGAAAAATTAGTTCTGTGTCCTATCAGTTTTAGGACTTTCTGGGTTTGCTGATAATAATCGATACAATCTTTATAGACTTTCTTGGTAGAGATGCCTTACCAGGGTGCAGTTTGTTGGTGGAGGAGGAATACTGAGGCTGAGACAGCATATGCAGCACTGGAAAAAAAATGTAGAAAATAAAAGCTGAAAAAAGGCCAGACCCAGCAACTTTCCATTGAAGTGCCTCTTAGAGGGACCCTGGCTGGCTGTTTTATTAAGTGTGACAAAGTGACGGGAGGTGGGGGGGAGCTCCTATGTTAATAAGTTGGAAAGGTACCACCATTCCTCTCGCCTGAGTGTCTCAGGGAAAGTGGAATTAATTCATGGCATATGCTCCTAGCATCTGCTGCAGTGACCTGGGTTGGCAGGAGCGCGGTTCCAGGCAGCGTTTGCCAGAGCCTATACTCTCCACTACTCTTTTGCTCAGGCCTTGCTTGCTACCTGCCCATGGCCAAGAGTGAGGACAATGTGGCTGCTCTGGCTGGGCATACACCCAGCTGCCCACCTACCACCCCTGTGGGACCTCACAGCCTGGCCAGGGTCTTTCTCCTTCTGAAGAAGGAGTATTACTCTAGGCTTGAGAAGGAAAAGGGGATGTTTGGATAGAAAATAGACCAATTTGAATAGAAACTAATCCAGTTTGTCCCAAGCAGCCTTAATTCCTCCCACAGCATTCCCTGACAGTCTCCTCCATCCCTCTGACTTGTTCTGTGGCTTGTTGTGAGGCTCTGACTCCTCAGTCTCCTTCCTTCTTTTCTGCTGTATCTCTACAGATGATTTGATCCTCTCCTTGACAGAGAAGACAGAGGTTGAATTTGCTGTTAGGTGGGATTTAATTCTCTGTTTAATGGCTCCCAGGAAATAACTTCCACGCCTTATTTCCCCTTGACTGACCTGCACCACAGCTAGGAGCTGTATCCAGCTAGTACAGGTGGGTGCAGTGTGTTGTTTCCAGGCTGAAGCTGTCTTTGTCTGTGCCTCATGCTCTGCATGTGAGCTTTCCCTTGGGAAAGGGCACCCAGAGTCAGTCCTTCACTGGCTGCTCTTTCTTCACCCACATCCTTCCACCTTTTTGAACAACTGCCTAGGGTATGGGATATTTTCATGGCCTAAAGAGCTGACAGACCCAGGAGAAACCACAGCACTGGGTGATCCCCAAATAGGGCAGAGATGCTTCATGCTGCTTCTGTGCTCTCCCAGAAGCTGTCCCCACACATCTGCAGCTTCTCCCTCTTGAGCTCCCTTTTGAAATGTGGCATTCCAGTCCTGGGCTTGGCGGGGACTGCACAGAGCTGAGTGAGGGCCAAGACAGGGTCCCAGCTGTGGGCACCATGTTGGATGCACGATCAGCTGCCCTGGTGAGACCAGTACTCCTATGGCCATGCTTTACCTGGGGGGAAGACCTGCACTCCCTGCAGCCACAGCCTGGGAAGAATCCTAGAATCCTAGAATAGTTAGGGTTGGAAAGGACCTTGAGATCATCTAGTTACAACCCCCCTGCTGTGGGCAGGGACACCTCACACTAAACCATGTCACCCAAGGCTCTGTCCAGCCTGGACTTGAACACTGCCACGGATGGAGCATTCACAACCTCCCTGGGCAACCCATTCCAGTGCCTCAGCACCTTTACAGTAAAGAACTTCTTCCTTATATCCAATCTAAACTTTCCCTGTTTAAGTTTGAACTCGTTACCCCTTGTCCTGTCACTACAGTCCCTAATGAAGAGTCCCTCCCCAGCATCCCTATAGGCCCTCTTCAGGTAGTGGAAGGCTGCTATGAAGTCTCCATGCAGCTTTCTCTTCTCCAGGCTGAACAGCCCCAACTTTCTCAGCTGTCTTCATATGGGAGGTGCTCCAGTCCCCTGATCATCCTCGTGGCCCTCCTCTGGACTTGTTCCAACAGTTCCATGTCCTTTTTATGTTGAGGACACCAGAACTGCACACAATACTCCAAGTGAGGTCTCACGAGAGCAGAGTAGAGGGGCAGGATCACCTCCTTCGACCTGCTGGTCATGCTGCTTTTGATGCAGCCCAGGATACGGTTGGCTTTCTGGGCTGCAAGCGCACACTGAAGCTGGCTCATGTTCATTTTCTCATCGACCAGCACCCCCAAGTCCTTCTCCGCAGGGCTGCTCTGAATCTCTTCTCTGCCCAACCTGTAGCTGTGCCTGGGATTGCTCCGACCCAGGTGTAGGACCTTGCACTTGGCATGGTTAAACTTCATGAGGTTGGCATCAGCCCACCTCACAA